TATTGGTATTAGACAATTCACACAAAATTTAGCATACACGGAATCCACATTTATCTCCAAATTTCCCTACAACAGTGCAATCATCCAAACATCCTAAATTTGGTTTTAGGGTATTGTGATGTTTAATGGTTGTTTGGATTTCAACATCTAAGTTTTCTATTCCAACCTATAAACATGAATCAACCTACTTATGCACAATGCCACAATCAACTCACGTGCAAAGATATTTTCCGTTTCACATGAACAAGCAAAAATCTAACTCAAATACAAATAACCTATTCATAATCCATGAACTAATGCATGTTCTCAATAATATATATTACTGCCGGCAAGGCTTTCTAACTCATACAAGCATGCAAAAACACGAAATTTTATTTTTATTTTTGTTTTTATTTGACAATGCACACAAATAAAAATTAAGTAAATATATAATAGGAAAAAAAACAAACAAATAATTTTATTTTTTTTTAAAAATTTGCTCACAAATTAGACAAAACCAAAAAATTTAGGCAATTAGACAATTTATAATACACTCCCCTCAAACTTAAACTAAACATTGTCCCCAATGTTAAATTAAAAGAAAAAGAGGAGGACTCCCCTGAATTGTCTGAATTGCCACCGATGGTTTGGTACACTAATATTGAATTTGATGGACGTTTCTTCTAGCTTTCCCCCGAAACTTGAGATTTATCCAGCTTCTCCTTGTCAATGTTGTTTGATTGATCTGCGACGTCATATTCCTGAAAAATCACAATGTAGATATTAAACTCATGGAACAAGTGGTACTTAGCTCAAACATCGATAACCAACTTGATTTTTCGAAACCTAAGGGACGGATAGGGTTGATGAATTCCTAAATAACAACTCTGAAATAAAATAAATTATCATAAAATTCAAAAATAGAATAAATAAATAAAGATGAAAGCTTGGGTTGCCTCCCAAGAAGCGCTTCTTTTACGTCTTTAGCTGGACGTGGATGTGGTTTCAAGTTGGTTCATTAAGGGTAATTTCTTCCACATCCCAGTTTTCCTCTCCATAGTAATGTTTGAGGCGTTGCCCATTTGCCTGAAAGGTAGACCCATCCTTGCCTACTAATTCCACTGCACCATAAGGGAACACCTTGCGGATTACAAATGATCCTGACCACTAGGATTTAAGCTTGCCTAGAAAAAGTTTCAAGCGAGAATTGAATAGAAGAACCGGTTCTCCTGCCTTGAAATCCCTCCTTAATATTCTCTTGTCATGCCACATCTTTGTCCGTTCTTTATATATCTTTGCATTTTCATATGCATCGTTCCGGAATTCCTCCAATTCATCAAGTTGCAAGAAACATTGTGGACCAGCCAATTTCATGTCTAAATTCAATTTCTTCACAGCCCAATAAGCTCGATGCTCCAATTCTACCGGTAGATGACAAGCTTTCCCGAATAGCAGACGGTAGGGTGACATTCCAATTGGAGTTTTAAATGTTGTTCGGTATGCCCAAAGAACGTCATCTAGTTTGAGAGACCATTCCTTCCGATTGGTATTCACTGTCTTTTCTAGAATCTGTTTAATCTCTCTGTTAGACACCTCTGCTTGCCCATTTGACTGTGGATGATAACCCAATGCCAACTTGTGCTTGACATCATACTTAGCTAGAAGAGAATTCAACAGCTTTTTACAGAAATATGTACCTCCATCGCTTACGATTGCTCTAGGCGTGCCAAACCGAGTGAAGATGTTTTTCTATAAAAATCTCAACACAACCTTTGCATCATTTGTTGGTGTGGCAATGGCTTCAACCCACTTAGACACATAATCTACTGCGAGAAGAATATACTCTTGACCAAAGGAAGGTGGAAATGGACCCATGAAATCAATACCCCACACATCAAATAATTCCACCTCAAGCATATCGGTTAATGGTAGCTCATGATGTCTTGAAATGTTTCCAGTGCGTTGACAGCTGTCACATGTTTTCACAAAAGCATAGCAGTCTTTGAACAAATTTGGCCAATAGAAACCAGATTGCAATACCTTTGCAGCAGTATGTGTAGGATCGAAATGACCTCCATAGGATGATGAATGGCAATGCTGCATGATTGATCGCGTTTCTTCCACAGGGACACACTGCCTAATTATTCTATCAGCACACCTTTTGAACAAGATTGGATCATTCCACAGAAATGACTTGACATCATGTAGGAATTTCTTCTTTTGATGAAAGGTCAAGTCAGGTGGCAATCTTCCAGACACTAAATAGTTAACAAAATCAGCATACCACGGGATCTCAAATAGAACCTATCTCTATAATTCAACCCCAATATCTCTATTTCGAGTTAAATTTATAAAGATTGTCACGCACTTTGTTCTTTACCCTCAAAGAATTGCACTTTCTCTCGAAATCTACAAATCTAGGTTATATTGTTCTTAGATCATGTCTAAATTTCCCTCTCTCGAGCGTTAAACTTAGAGCATTAATTCATTCAATTGGTGATCAAGCAACCGAAAGCATTAAGTAAGAACAATACAAATCAATTCTGAAAAATTAAATGGAAATACTATAAAGAAATTGAATCATGTCTCAAATAGGTTACATCAAACCCTAAATTTAATAACTTAGTTCATGATTAAGGAGAAGAACATGATAAAATATAAATTAAATCTCATGGAGAAGAGAAAGATAAGAAAAAACTCATGTTGCAGCTTGATTCCTTCTCCAAGATCCAATGATTCTTCTCTCAATTAGTGTATATCATTGCCTCCTTTCTTCAGCCATCAAAACCTACTTTCTTAGGTCTCTCAACATGTATTTATAATCCCCTTAATTTGCATTACGAGTTGGAGTTGGGTCGGGTCGAAAATATTTGGAAAAATTGCATTTTTCCTTTCTCGGCATGTAGCGCCTGGGCACTGAGTTTCTGTTGGAATTACAGAATTGTGGTGCCTGGGCGCTGAGGGTATAGCGCCTGGGCGCCCGGTTCGCCCGAAACGGCATTCTGCGCGTATTTCAGTATTTTTAGCATAACTTTCTCGTTCGATATCCAATTGAAGTGACTCAAGATGCATTGGAAAGTTAATTCAAAGGGCTACAACTTTGCTTCAGGCATCATTCTCCAATTCGATCATTTGCTATGTCGAAAATGGGTCTGAATGTGGGACTAAAAATTCGGTGCAAAACTTTTCGGTTGGAAAATGATTTATGATCATATCTTGATTAAATTTGATCCCTTTTGACACCTTCCTTCATCCAATTGACTCCTACCACTCTCAGATCTTCATTGCAAGTTCCGATACAACTTTTGATTATGTGCACTTTAGTCCTCAAACTTTGGATCTCTTACATTTTGGTCATTTCACCCAATTTCGCCAACTTTTGCCTATTTCTTTCATTTGGCCTCTTTTAGCACTTGTTTTCTCCACTTCATCCATCCTTCAAAGTAGCGTGAAAACCACATGTTAGCACCTCTAAAATACTCTCCAAGATAGCAAAATCATGAAATTAATAGCATAATACAATGAGTGTAAATCACTCATCGGACGTGGAAGAGGTTAGGGGAGATTAGGGAGAGATACAGTGTCCCCCACACCATAGAGATGCTAGGCCCCGAGCCAAATGAACGGGCCTGCTATCTAAGGTCCGGATGCGTGGCGGTCAGTGAATACCTGTTTAAGGCAGGTATGCGTCTTCCTCTGCATCCCTTCTTTAGGGTGGTGTTAAGGAATTTTATGTTGTCGCCGATCCAAGTTCTACCAAATGGGTGGAGCCAGTTGGTCGGCTCATACTTCCTGTGGAAGGAGGTGTCACTTGAGGAGGACATGTCTCTCCATGTATTTATGACTCCTTTTCAGCCTCGGATCATTGGGAAGGAGTCCAGGGAGTGGTATTATCTTACACCTTGGGGGGCTCACGTACCCTTTGTGGTGGGGCTACCTTCCTCCATTAAGGGGTTGAAGGAGTCTTGGTTCTGGGTGCGGGGGAAATGGCAGGCAGTGGAGGGGGACAAGGCCCTTTCTTGCACAGTGCCGACCCAGTACTACGAAACTCGTGAGTCTCCCAGCTCCTGCTTGTAATTCTAAATTGAACACTTTGAAAATATCTAACTGTTGGGGGTTCCATTGCAGATTGTAGTACGAGGTTCGAGCTCAATAGGGAAGAGTTCGAGGTGATAGAGAACATCTACAAGAGGCCCCTGAAGCTCCGCCACTTTGACCATCTGATCGACCGGAGTTGCTACTTTCTGGATTTTGGACTAATGGCTTCCAGAGGTACGAGGCTCCCATAGTTGTAAATTTCCTTGTGTTTTTGATTGGACATTAATGTGTTGACCTGACGCTCTTATGCAGATAAATTCAAGAGGAGGGAGTACCTAGCTCCAGACATGGTTACAATTATAAAAGCCACCACCACCGCCAAGGCTAGGGCCTTGAAGCCGGGGTCTAGTGGGGCTAAGAAGGGAGCTTCCCAGAGGTAGGAGAGGCCAAAAGAGCCTCGGGGGAAAGAAAAAGTCCCAGAGGAGGCGAAGAGGAGGAAGCTGGTGCACGTTACTAGCTCGTCCGGGAAATTTGGGACGTCAGTGTCCCACAAGGCCAAATCGACAGGCGAGCCCAAACTGTTCGCATCTGCCTCCAAAGCCATCAAGTTAGAAATGATCATAGAGGCTGAGGCTGAGGAGGCCAGGGAGGAGGCTGCCAGGAGGGCTGCTGAGGCTGCCGAGGAGGAGGCAGCTAAACAAAAGCCTATTCGGGAAAAGGGGAAGTCTCCAAGCTTCTTAGCTGGAAGGGAAGAAACCTTGGCCCTAGCCTTGGTGGAGGCTCTTCCCTAGGAGGTCCGAAGCACCACGGAGAACTTTTACCGATTCTGGACGGACAAGTGGCAGCTACATGCCTTCTCTTGCGATGCTACTGACCTGACCAGGGCGTTGGTGAGCCAAAGCGTCAGAACTTTTGGCCTCGCTCTTGAATGCAGGAAGGCCCTGAGTGATTTTCAGACAAGGACCAGGTCTTCGGAGGAGAAGATGGCCTCCCTTGCAGAGGAGTTGAAGGCAGTTAGGGCCGAGGTGGAAGAAGCCAGGGCCCAAAAACTTGAAGAAATGGCCAAGCTGGAGTCTGCCTTGGCCCAGATTGAGGCCTTGAAGAAGGAGGTCCACGAGTCACAGTGAGAGGTGGCCTCCCTTACAAAGAAGGTGGAGGTCTCTAATGAGCATCAGAAGGTGACCATTGAGGCCCTGGAAAAGGCCAATCGCTCTTTGACGGGTGCCCAAGAAGCTTACCATTTCTTGGAAACCCAAGTCAAGTGGTATGTGGATGATGCATCCCATGCCAGAGAGGAGGCCCAACGGGCGAGGGAAGAGACAGTGCAAGAGTATGTTGCCAACTTCCACAACACAGACGAATATAAGAACTTCAGTGCATACTGGAGAAACTTTGCCTATGCTGAGGTGATGGAGCGGGCAGAGGAACTGTATCCCAATTTGGATCTAACTCAACTTAGGTCTGAATTCGTGGATGAGGTACCTCAGACCCCTGCTGAGGACGTGCAGGGTAATGAAGCGGCTGAGGTAGGGAAACCAAATGCTGATGCTCAAGCTGCCGAAACCCTTAGTACAGAAGCACCTCCCCCATCTACCCAAGCTTAGATTAGTTTTCTTTTCAGTCTTTTTCGAATGTAATGGCCTGAGGCCCACTTTTGTAATCCTTTTTGAAGATCAATATAATGCCTATTTCATTCATTGTTGTTTCTTTTTATCAGTGTACGCGCTTCGTTTAAGCAAATGAACTTAAAGGTTGACAGAAGCACCAACTAAATAACTCTAACTTGGTACCTTAACTTCAATTACTTTAAACAACTAGATTGAACAACTGTATGAACCTCGGACTTAAGCAAATGAACGTTACTTAAGCATAATAATTGTATGAGCCTCAGATTTAAGCAAATGAATAGTTGAACATAATGAGCCTCGTAATCGAGCGAATGAAAGTTGCACGTGAGGTGGTTTTTTCCCTTGGCGTTTTGTCTGGCCAACGGAAGGCATGTGCTTGTGCCTCGAAATTCAAGCAAGGTGGCCCAGAGATGGGTCGCGAGCCTCTCCTCCGAGGTGACGATGCATCCCAGACATGGTGGACGATGTGACCATGTTGAGGCTTCTCTCTTTGGCGTTTTGTTTCTTCTGGCCAAAGGGAGGCATGTGCTAGCGCCTCGGAGTTCAGGCGAGGTGGCCCAGAGGTGGGACGCGAACCTCTCCTCCAAGGTGACGACGCATCCTAGACATGGTGGATGGTGCAGCCATGTTGAGGCTTCTCCCCTTAGCATTTTATTTCTTCTGGCCAAAGGGAGGCATGTGCTAGCGCCTCGGAGTTCAGGCGAGGTGGCCTAGAGGTAGGATGCGAACCTCTCCTCCGAGGTGTCGAGGTAGTACAACATGTTAATTTAATCATTGAATTTTATTGAACCATAGAAATGTTACAAAAGCTGGGAAAGGTCGTCTAGCAAGATAGTACATTTATTGGTAGTAGATTCTGAGGTGTTCAATGTTCCATGGACGGGGTTGTGCCTTGCCGTTCATGTCTTCATTCCAGTAAGTCCCAGGTCGGACTTCTTCTCTGTATATGGACCTTCCCAGTTTGGGCTAAGGAAACCGAAAACAAGTTCTTTTGAGGAAAGAAAGACCCTCCTAAGTACAAAGTCGTTGATCCGGAATGACCTCTTCTTGACTTTCGAGTTGAAGTACCTTGTCATCTTTCTCTGATATGTGCCGAGCTTCAATTTGAAGTCATCTCTCTTTCTTCGATGAAGTCGAGGTCGAGCCTTCGAAGCTCGTCGTTAGTTATCTCGCTGAAGTGCAGACGTCTTGGAAATGGAAGTCCGACCTCCACGGGGCTCATAGCCTTAGTTCCAAATGCCATGAGGAAGGGAGTTTCTCCTGTTGGGGTCCGGGTGGTGGTTCGGATCGCGCAAAGGACTTGGGGAAGCTCATCAACCTAGGCCCCTTTTGATACATCAAGCTTCCTTTTCAAGACATGCTTGATCATCTTGTTCACGGCCTCAACTTGACCATTTGCTTGTAGGTGGTGAGGTGTGGAGAATTGCTTCTTTATGTCGATCTCTTCGCATAATTCTCTAACCTTCTTGTTGTCAATCTGTCTGCCATTGTCTGAGACAATTGAGTGCGGAATTCCGAACCGGCAAATAATATTTTTTCCATAAGAACTTGGAGGTGTTGGCTTCTGTGATTTTTGCCAGTGGTTCGGCTTCGACCCACTTCGTGAAGTAATCAATAGCCACAATTGCAAAACTAGCCCCTCCTCTACCTTTAGGTAGGGGACCTATGAGGTCCACGCCCCATTTTGAGGAAGGCCAGGGGCTAGAGACGGTGGTCAGCTCCTGCGATGGTTGTCTCTGCACCGGGGAAAAGCGCTGGCATTTATCACATTTTCGCACAAAATTGAGGACGTCCCGCTTTAGTGTGGGCCAGTAGTACCCCTGCCTCAATATTTTTTGTGCCAGAGATAGACCTCCGAAGTGGTTGCCGCATACACCCTTGTGGACTTCCCTCAATATGTATGTAGCCTCTTTTCCTCCGACACACCGTAGGAGTGGGGAGGAGAAGCTCCTCTTGTAGAGAACATCATCAATGAAGAGGAAGTGAGCTGACCTCCTTCTTAGCCTATAAGCCTCATTCTTATTAGTTGACAGTGTCTGGTCTTTGAGGTATGCTACGATCGGTTGCATCTAGGTGGGAGTCCCAGCGACCCACATTGCAGTTGGGGCCTCGATCGAAGGTAGGAGGAGGTGCTCAATATGTACTATTGTGAGTAGCTCTGAGTCCTTGCTACTAGCCAGCTTTGATAGTGCATCCGCATGCGCATTTTCGATGCGGGGAATCTGGATCAACTCAAACTTTTCGAAGGACGGGATGAGGTTCATCACCATTTTCAAGTAGGAGGCCATCGTTTTGTCTTTGGCTGAGAAGTTACCATTGACCTGACTAACAACCAGCTGGGAGTCACTACTGATAAGTAGCCTCTTTACTTGTATTTCGGTGGCCAGCCTGAGGCCCGCCAGAAGTGCCTCATATTCTACTACGTTATTGGTAGCTTTGAATCCGAACCTCACCGTCGAGGTGAGTTTGTGACCTTCGGGGCTGATGAGGACAACCCCAGCGCCAAAGCCAACATCCCCAGCTGACCCATCAACGAAAAGACTCCACGTGGGGGGTTCAGCAGGTTCCATGATTTCATCCACCTCGGGTAGGTTCGCGAATTCAGCCACAAAGTCAGCTAAGGCTTGCCCTTTTATGGTTGCCCTAGCCTTGAAGACAAGGTCAAATTCACTGAGTTCCACCGCCCATTTCAATAACCTTCCTGAGACGTCAGGCTTTTGGAGTACCTGCCTCGGGGGAAAATTTGTCAGTACATGGATGGTGTGAGCTTGGAAGTAGGGTCTCAATTTCCTAGAGGCCATGATCAAAGCCAAAGCGAGCTTCTCCACATCGGGGTAACGGATTTCCGGCGATAGGAGCGCTTTACTTGTGTAGTATACGGGGAGTTGGGTAGACCCTTCTTCCCGTATCAGAACCGAGCTGATGGCCTCATTGGAGACGGCCAAATATAGTTGTAGGATATCACCGGGCTTAGGTTTGGAGAGGAGGGGGCTTGCCCCAAGTGCCTTTTCAAGCATTGGAAGGCCTCTTCACATTTCTCGGTCCACTGGAATTTCTTCCTAGCCTTTAGTACTTTGAAAAAGGGGAGGCATTTGTCCGTTGTTTTGGACACGAAACGGCTAAGTGCGACCACTCGCCCGGTAAGACTTTGCACTCCTTCGGCTTTTGGGGGGACCTCATCTTGCATAGAGCTTCAATTTTCTCGGGATTGGCCTCAATTTCTCGTTGGTTGACCATGTACCCCAAGAACTTGCTGGAGGCTACCCCAAAGGCGCACTTAAGGGGGTTGAGCCTCATCCTGTATCTTCTTAGGATTTGAAAAGTACTGTTGAGGTGCTTTATGTGGTCGTCGACCTCCAAACTTTTTACTAGCATGTCGTCTACGTAGACCTCCATTGTTTTGCCAATGAGGTCCACAAACATCTTGTTTACGAGTCTTTGGTAGGTTGCTCCGACATTTTTCAACCCGAAGGGCATCATTCTATAACAATAGAGGCCTCGGTCCGTAATGAAAGAGGTGTGCTCTTCATTGGTCGGGTGCATGGGGATTTGGTTGTAGCAGGAGTACGTGTCTATGAAGCTCAACAACTCGTGCCCAGCTGTGGAGTCCACTAGTTGGTCAATCCTTGGGAGTGGAAAGCTGTCTTTCGGGCAAGCTCTATTGAGGTTGGTGAAGTCAATGCACACCTTCCACTTGCCATTGTTTTTCTTTACCAAAATCGGGTTGGAGACCCATATAGGGTAGGTTACCTCTCGGATGAAGCCATTTTGGATGAGCTTCTGAACTTCTTCCTTTAGGGCCTCATACCTCTCAGGATTGAGGGCTCTCCTTTTTTGTCTATGCGGGCAAATTTAGGACCAGTTTTCAAGTGGTGGCAGCTGACCTTGGGGTCTATGCCTACCATGTCCTCATGCTTCCAGGCAAATACATCAAGATTCTTGCTCAGGAAATCCTTAATCTTTTCCTTCAGAATGTTGGATAGGCATTTGCCTACTTTCAGCACCTTTGATGGGTCTTGGTGGTCTACCGAGAAGCTCTCAAGTTCCTCTACTGGGGATGCCTGAGGCTCGTGTTCCATGATGCGGGGGTCAATTTTATCGATGACCAGCGCCTCCAAATTAGGTGGTGCGTCGATCATATCAACGTTTTCTTGTTCGGCGGGAGCATCACCTAGGACGTCAGCCATGACCACGTCAGCTATGATTACATGGATGTCCCGGGGCTCTACCTTCTTGATGGAGCTTAGATAGCATTCTCTCGAGCCTCTTTGGTCGTCCCTCACCGTTGCCACCCCATTTTCTGTTGGAAATTTCATGCATAGGTGGTGGATGGAGGTGACTGCTCCTAGTTCCTTTAGGGCTGGTCTGCCCAACACCCCATGGTAGGCCGAATGGCTATCGACAATGAGGAACTCCATGAAGTTCATCATTATTCGTGGGGATTCCCCCATCTCCACTGCTAGTGTTATCTTTCCCCTCGGAGTGATGTTATCTCCGGTAAATTCGTATAATGGAGTGGTGGTGGGCGTCAGCTGATGATCCAATATCATTTTATCAAAGACGGATCCGAATAGAATGTTGACGGAGCTGCCGTTGTCAACTAACATTCGTTTGAGCCCATTCCTGGCTATGACAGCCCTCACCATAATTGCATCACAATGGGGGTAATGAACTCCCTCTGCGTCTTCCTGGGTAAATACAATAGGTGGATCCTGGTTTCTTCGGGAGCTGCTACCCACAATGTAGCTTGTCAAAGGGGGTGTTTATCCTCCCGGGCATAGTTCCTTTTGGCGTTTCGTGTTTCACCGCCAACATACGGACTTCCAAATATGGTGTCCACCTCGTAGATAGGGGCTTCATCTCCAGCTTGCCGATTTCTTTTGTGCTTACGCCCTTCCCTGGGCCTCTCCGCATCATGCTCCCTTCGTCGTGGGGATACATCCCTTTGACGGGGAGCGGCCTCCTCACGCCCATGTTGGTTGTCGTGCCTGGGCGAATCATATCTATCTCTAATAGGTTCTTGCTGGGAACGTTGTGCATAGTCTCTACAATCCGCTGTGTTATGCCCGTAGGACCTGTGGTGTACACAGTATCAGGGGGGTTCGGATTTGACCTATTTCTAGGTCCAGAGCCTCGACCTCGGCCTCTCCCCCTACGAGGCATCTCCTGAGCCTCCATCTGATGGGGGTCAGTAATTGGATTGACATCTTCATATGCCAAGGTGGGAACCGCATTCAAAGTGGTGGTGGCAAGTGTTTGACCAGAGTTCTCATTTCCGATCTGGTTTATCTGGTAGCCCATCAGGTGGGAGGTCGGGCCTCTACCGCACTGTCTTTGAGGAGGCGGGAGGCCTCTATTTGCCCTGTTCCTATGTTCAATCAATTCTTCATTGATGATCTCCCTTCTCATCATTTCGAGTAGGGCGTCATAGGTGGTGGGGTCTTGATTCTGCACATCTCTCCAGAATATGGACCTCTCCTTAGTGCGGATAGTGCCTCTCGGTCGCTGACTTGTACGCAGTACATCATCTCATCGGTGAAGCGTGATAAGAAGCTCTTTAGGGACTCCCCATGTGCTTGCCTCATGTCTTGGAGATGTTGGATGGGGGTTTCTCCTTCTTTGCTCACTGCGAACCTCTTCAAGAATGTTGTCTTGAACTCGGCCCAACTTCTAATGCTCCCAGGTGGCAATTTGCTATACCAAATCTCAGCCGCTCCACTAAGCGTTAAATGGAAGGCTCTACACTTCACGGCTAGGGTGGCGCCCCTGAGGCTCATGTAAGTTTTATAAGCATTCAGATGCTTTTCCGGGTCGCCTCTTCCGTCATACTTTGGTATTTTTGGCATAACATATTGGCTCGGGACCTGGGCATTCCTTAGTTCCCTTGAGAATGGTAGGTTCTCATCGTCATCGTCTAAGTCGCAGGACCTCTGCCGTTCATCAGAGTCGTACTCATCAGCCTCATGCCTCGGTTGTTGGTGAGAGGTCCCGGAGAGATCCCAAGCCTCTTTCTCCCTCCTCTGCCGCCTATTTCTAGGCGGAGCAACATGGGGGGCATTTTCTTGCCTTCTTTTCGCCTGCTGGGGCATTGTAGGTGGAAGAGGTGGCCTTGTCCAAGGTTGTTGAGCCTGCTGTTGCCTTAGCCTGGGTTCGACGGGGCTGATTCTGTCAAAAACACTTCCTGCCCTCTTATGTCTTGGATCTTGCTCATAAGGAGGTGGGAAATTATAATGGCTCATTTGGACCTTGGTGGGTCAGCCAGAAGCGTAGTTGGAGGAAACATCAACTTCCACTTCCCTTTCAAATGGGCTTCCACCTCGGCCATAGTCTGGCATAGCAGCTCTATGACTTTGGACTTCATCCTCTTGCTGGTAGGGCCCTTGGGGGGCGTATGGGGGAATGGGGAAGCCTCCCTGACCTTGCATTTGGGCCATAAGCTCCTTCATAGCCAAATTTTGGCTAGCAATATCCCTCATGTTGGCTGTCATGGCGGCCATCTCTCTTGATAATCGTGCCGTCGCACGCATCCCACCTCTTCTTTGGTGGTGGTGGAGTCTCTGCCGAGCTGCTGGGGCAGCGGGCTGAGGAGGCACGTTAGTGTTTTCTTTTACCCTCCTGGGGGGAGTATCTTCATTGAAGCTCATTTTATTTTGTCAGATTTCAGATTTCGCTAAGTAATGGGGCTTCCTCCTGTTCTTTTCCAAGAACAAATCATTTTTCAAGGAGGGTTGCCCAAATGTCCTTTCAGTAAACTTTTGCCACAAGGTTGCTCGTGGTTATGGTATGGTTTCCCACAGACGGCGTCAATCTGTTGACCCCAAAAAACGTTGTCAACAAATGCCAGTCCCACCCGCACACACGTGGGCGAATGTCCAACACGCTAAGATACGTGGACAGTCTAAAACGAGCGGTTGATAGGGCGTGGGAGTAGCCCAACGACGCGGGACGATAACGTTCAGAATCCGACGGGTTATTCTTGATCTGATTGTACAATAATTACCAACCGGTGTTCGTCGATGTATATGTAAATGTGTATAAACTTGATTTGTATATTGCAAGTAAATGAGAGAGTTGAGTGAAGTGTAGTTCTTTGTATTGATTCTTGCATTAGCCTTTTGATGTTACACAAGGGAAGTATTTATAGTGATACATTTGAAATGGGAGCCCTTGGACGAGGTGGCACATGGCCTCATCTCTTTGATTCAAACATCTTATCCTAGGTATGGGGCTTGACTTGCTAGCTTGCTGCACATTTATTGCTTGTGCAGAGCCTCCATACTAGTGATAAGACTTGACCTTTATGCTTATGACAAACGTTCCATCAATCATTCGAATAAGATCTTTGTGTAGGCGATATATTGGGAGAAGTGACCATGGAGGATGCTCCCTTGTGGTTCGAAGGCTCCTGCATCGGTTTCGGGGTTTCGGCCATTTCATACAATACTTCCACTTGAGGGCTTCAGCTATCTTCAACCAGTTTCAGTATCATGGCTTCGGGTCATAGGCCTCGGTATGTGGACCTCGGGTACATTTACAGGCCTCGGTAAAAGGGAGCCTCGGCTAGTGGACTTCGGCTTGAAGGGCTTTGGCTATAGTCCACCTCGGCGCCCTACACCATCTCGACTGGGGGGCCACGTGGTTCGCCCTGAGTGGGCCATTGGTCTAGGTAGGTTGGCCAAGTATGACAATACACAATAATAAAGATGTGTGATAAAATTGATAAGTCTATATGATCTAATAATATTCAATTTAGCGTACCAAACGTTTAGTATAAAATTTCTTTGAGTGTGTTTCATTGAAGCTACCATGAACTTGAAAGTTTATACTGGAGAATCTTTATGAAGCTTTTTAATTATATGACACTTCCTATTTTACAGAGTTAATGCTTATTAAAAGGCTTCAAGGAATTTTCTATTTTAACATTTTAAAATTAAAATAGAGGGAGAGTTGGAGAGCTCGACTCACTCTTCATTACATATTTCAATACTCTACTTTTTAAATTATTCAAATCATACCTTATTTGATTGGCAATTAACATATACAAATAGATTAAGCCTCATTCTTTAAAAAAATACATTTTTAAACAGTGTTTTGACATCATTTTAATCACACATTATTCAATAAAATAATATTACACGTAAATCCAAATTTTTCCCTTATTCCCCCCCCCCCCAAAATCAAAATTTTGGCTGTTATTTCACTATTTTAGCCATTATTTTTTACTTCTTTTCTCACAGGTAGGACTCGCTTTTCTGTCTAACGATGAAAAAATCAATTCTTAAAATCACTACCGAACAAGTCTTTAATGTTTCCTGAAAAAGCAAATTAAAGTGTCAAAATAGAAAGCATAGAATACTCTTTTGAGTAATGGTATCTTACGTTTGATTGATGATATTTTTAATGAAAAATGTGTTTTTTCACTCAAATTCCTACTTAAGTGATGTTTGATTGACAGCTTTTTCCATGTAAAACATTTTCCTACTTTTGATCACGTCACCATATTTTCTTCATTAAGGAAAATTTTTTTTTTTTTATGTAGAGTAGGATTTTATTTTCTAGGGAATATACTCTCTCTTTCATCTATCCACTCACTCTCATCTACCCACAAATAAAAAATGGACAAGTATAATATTTTTTAGGTTGAGAATTAGTCAATCAAGCAAGTTTAATTAAAAATTTTCAATCAAATAAGTTTTAGGTAATTCAATCACCTAGAATTTATATTCTTTCCATGTAAATTTCATGCTTCCAACTAAATGCACCCTAAGTGATAGGTTAAATGAAAGATAAAATTTAGTGATCCATTTAATTATACTTCTTATTTAATATCACATTAGTACACTTTTAATATCAGTAGTATTAAATAATATTATTATACTTTTTTAAATAGAGAGTTTGTTGATAATGTTTTTAGACCTTGTGACCCACCTTAGCCAACCATAAATTATCTTGGTTTTCCATTCAATCCCACGTTCTAATTTGTTAAGCTTTGGTTCCTTACTAATAATTATAACATACATCCCATGTCCATAAAGTTATTGTCTTTGTTAACTTCAATTAATCAATTGAGGGGGCACAAGGACTATGAGAGCATGGCAGAAGCTACAAATATTCTTTAAGGCTTGTTCAATATTGATTTTGAGAATTAAATTTTTGACCGTCAAGAAAAAAGTGGGGACCACCTGTGAGTGAAGAAGTCAAAAAATACTGCTAAAATAGTGAAATAATGGTCAAAAAATCAATTTTTTAGGTGAACAATTGCTCCCAAACAGGCTCTAAGTGTGTCTTTAAAGCATTTTTAAAATTCAATAGTTGAAAGAATTTTTAATGAAACTAACAATTAATAATTCATGACAACAAGATTATAACTTGATCGTAAAAAAAATTGTTTTAACGAGAAGAGATCTTTAACATCATTTAACAACGAATATTTGATGCATCAGTCAACATAATTTTCTAATGACTAATTTCATTGTTAGACGTGAGAATGTGGTCTTTACAATGAAATTTAAAAAAAAAAAAAAACCAACAACAAAATGTTGTTATTCAATATACATACATTGCTAAATTTTAAGGATGAAATAAGTACAAAACAAATTTATAGGGGGTAAAATGCAATAAATTACAAAGTTCATTACCCCAGACAAATTATATTAGTAGGGTGTTTGGTAGATATTTTTATGTAAAAATGTATTTTTGAATAGTAAATTGATGGGAAATGTGTGGTTGAAAAATAAGGAAAAGTTTTTGATTTACGTGTAATATTATTTTAATAAAGAATACGTGGTTGAAAAGAAGAGAGAGAAAAATGCATTTTAAAAAAAAAAAGGGTACCAAACAGGGTCGATATTCAACACTACAAAAGGTCCAAACCCTAATTTTCATTCTAGAACCCTTACCCGAAACACAGTAAACCAGTGAACACCAAGAAATGGAGCTGTGCGCAATTCGAGCCATCTCGAACCTTCCTATACCACACCATAAGTCAATCAATCCAGTCCACACTCAGTCCCGTTACTGTACACTTCTCAAGCAAAATCGCTTGAACTTGGGTAATTTTTTGATTCCTTATTTATGTTATGTTAATTAAATTATTGTCCTTATGAAAAGATGTCAATGGGCCTTCTGGGTTCCTAATTTATGGATTTTTAGTTCATTTTTTTCGTATAGATTTCAGATATTTTTTATGGACTTTCTGAGTTTGATGTTTATCGACGAGGCTTGTAATGTTAAAAGAAATGATAAATCGAGGTTAAATGTGAAATAGATTTTTTCTTATAAATTTTGCAGTTTTTGAATTTTCTGATTTTGCAATATTCGTGGAATTCCTTATTCTTTATCTATAGAAGTATTGCGTATCTAACTTTAGGGCTTTGTGAGGTCTCTAATCTTCAGAAGGAAGAGAGATGAAAGATGAGAATTTTTAAAGAATTCTTTTTGGTTTTTGTTTTCAGGATTGCGATGCTATAAAAGTTCATCTCCGACATCAGAGGAAACTTCAGTTGAAGCACCCTCTTATGTTAAAGATGAGACCGATTGTGCGATAACTGTTGAAGAAGTTCGACCGGTTGAAAATAATGAAGAGTACAGTCTAGCAACTCAGAGCAATGAAAAGCCACAAGAAGATTCTTTGTTGGATAACCCAATGAAGGTGTTCGAGTTCTTGGAGAAACTCGATGTAAGGATTCTTCATCTTTCCTTTTATTAGTCGTGCATTACCCGTAAGTGTTTAAACTGAGTAATCTGACTTATACTTTCTTAAGCAATGAAGTCTTCTTTCATAATTTATTAAATAGATCTTCCAAATTGCATCTGCCTTAAGCATATATTTGACACCATGACAATGCTTACTTGAAATGGCGGGGTAGATTAGGTTAACCAGTTCGTTGACTCATCTTTCTTCAGTAATTTCTTCTTGAGTGTTGCCTTCATTCGTATAAGAGCTTGCTTGATTATTCGGGTACAATGTTGATTTCTGTTGTTTGGAATATACGGTTTAACATGAAGGTTTTAATATTTCATATCAAAGAAGTGCAAGAATTGAAAATAGGCTAATATTTTTGTTTTAATTTTCATGGTTTTCAGCACTCGCTGTTTGATTAAAACTAAAACAGAGAATATGATCAAAACATTTAAGTTTCTTGGTTTCCTGGCATTCTCTTTTTGAAGTCATTGGATTCGAAGTTATATATAATATTAGCCCAATATTTGCATGTTCAGTCTACAAGTCAAAATGGTCTCATTTTGGCGTTTGGAATTGTGTGGTTGGTCTGTTGATCTGTTCAAGTAGAGATGCACATATTCTTTATTTATATTATTTTTGTATAATTTCCGGCTTCATATTGACCCTTGCTTGCTTTCTTCCATAGTTTTGTGAATGCTCGTCTTATTGCCTCTATTATTTTCGTATTTTATACAACTTTTTCCACTTATCTCTTTTTCTATTTTTTATTTTTCTGGTTTTACAATTTAATCTTTGCTATTTTGTGTCTTTGTTATATCTTTGCTGTTAGGATTTTTGGTTGGACTTATTAGGTGCTTTAAGCTATAAAACCTTATAAGCTCAACTAATCGTGAAAAGTGTCTGTTCCGAAATAAGCAAGTTGATGATATGAATTTGGTTGCCATGATGAATGCGTCAACATCTTGAAAGCTTATAGTGGCTTGGTGAAACATTGACTGTCATTGTCAATTCTGAGCGGTTACCTGAGCAACCTTATAATACCTTTTGCTATCTCTGACATCGTTATATTTTTAATATCATCTCGAGGTATATATTGAGCCCCCTTTTGGCCCCCCATTATTTCAAATTATAATGGGTGGAATAGCATTATTCTGGAGAATGGATGGTTGAAAAAAAAGGAAAAGTTTTTTATTTACGTGTAATATTATTTTATGAAAAAATGCGTGGTTAAAAAATAGGAGAGAGAAAAATGAAATTTAATTTAATGGGTTCAAATGGGGGTTGATGTTGTCCTTTGAATATACTGTCTATTACATAACGCATTGACTTAAGGTGAGCAAAAGAACCAGAACCACCAACCAAAGCAGAATTGGCCTGTTCAGTTATGCTTAAATTTTAAACGGTTTTGGTTCTTGGAACTAACAATTAATTGGTTTTGGTTCCGTTCTGATTCTAGTACCAGAATCAAATATCGGTTCTAACCCAAATTTTTTAATTAATTATGTTTTTTTTTCCATTTATTTGGCGAATGATTTTTATTGACAATATTTAGCCCCTTCTTGGGCCTCATTTTCTAAAAATATATTTTTTCTTAAACTTGTTTTCAACCAATGGCGGAGCCAGCACCCGACGAGGGGATGCTGCCTCTCGTGCTGGCTCCATCGAAATTTGCAGTCGCCGTTGGGAAGCTAGGCAGCTAGGAGGAAGCTTGAATCGTCGACGGGGGAATTGGAACAAGCCAAGAAGGAATATGATTGGGCTATTTTATCTATTCCTTTTTTTGGGCCTTTTATTAAGTCCGTTGTTAAAAAAAGTTTAGGCCCAAATACAATTAGGCAGCTTCAATTGAGCTAAATTCTTAATCCAAGTTCTAATCTATTCGGCTATTCTAATTTGCAATTTCCAAATCGGCGACAGAGCTTCCTCCTTAGCTCCCACTGCCATGTCACCATGCACTCGCCACTAGCATGTCACCCTTGTCCTATTGTCAGCTGCCATCTTCGTAGTGACTCGTGTGCCGTGAGCCTCTAACTCTCTCTTTCCATCGTCCTCTCTCTTCTTTTCCATTTTTTTTTCCCTCGAGGTTTTTGTTCTTCTAATTCATTTTTTGATTTATCATTTATGAGTTATGATTTCACAATAAAGGCGATGCTTTGTGGTCGATTCCAATTTCTTGATGCATGATTTTTTTTATTTTTGTATTTTTTAATGTTAATTTCTTAAGAAAATAGAAATTCCTCCTGTTGGACAATTTGGAATTTTGGACCCAAATTTTATCCAACTTTTGAGCATAAATGAAATATATTACTAATGGTTAGAACTTAAGTGTTTTAAAAGGGAATCTGGCCTTCATTTTTCTGTTTCGAATTAGATCCAAAACCTAGCTTATTCTTAGCAGTTTTGCATATTAAAATTTTCTGTTCGGACTCTCCCCAATATTTTCTGTTTATTAAGAATGAATGAAGGTTGAAATCTTGTCCATTATACTTGGAATCGATTATTGGCTTATTGGAAATATATTCCAATTTTTTACAAGTAAATATTGCTGGTCCCACCCAGCAAGAGACAGCTCAGCCAAAAAGGGTAAGCGCCTAGCGTGAGCCTTTTTTTATTAGTTTAGTAAAGTCGAGCTTTGGCTCCCTAAAGACTAAAGAAATGGATAAAAAAGGGGGGCTTCTGCAACGGGCTATGCCACCCAAACCGAGGGAAGTCGCATCATATATATATATATAGTGGAAACAATTTTTGAGGATAAATCGAAACTATAGTAATATGCATGATCGTGTTTAATAAATGATCTCGTTATTACGGCGGTTGACGGTCAATGGTTGCCCTAGTTGGATTCGATTCCTAGATTTGCCACTCTTTTTAATCATGCACTCTTTTGATAAATTTGACACGTAAAACCAAAACTTTCATATTTTTTAACTACACATTTTCCAAAAAAAATCACGATGATAGAACTCCTTTTTTTACCAAAAGTGGTGCTCAAATAGGGGCCTAGCATGTAGATGGAACTTTTTCTTCGCATTGAATGAGGCTTATTGTTTTGATTTTGGATGTGACTTAACTTATGAAAGAAACATTGTACTGTAATTTTCATTAATACACTTTTGGCTCTGTTTTGTTCTATAATTATATATGGAACCACTGGTTCCGTTTATAAGAAAATTTAATTAGGTTCTCGATTCGGTTCCGGTTCTCTTTGGATGGAACCTCGCCAACCCTTGAGATATGTACCTCGCCAACCCTTAAGATATGTAGTTGCATCAACTACCCAATACTTGTAATTCCCTTTTATAGTATTCTTCATTCTTTCATATGCACGATCCTTTCTGTTTAGATTCCTTGTTCTCATTTGACAGTTGCCTAAAATAGTTGGTAACCCGTAAGTTCAGCACTCGTCACCCTGCTAGGTTGAATGCTAGCTTTTGATTGGTAGGGGGAAAAAAGCCTTGATTTGTTCCAAATTTTCATTTTTTTTTTGGTCAGTTTTAGTTATCCATTTCAGTGTTTCTTATTCACTTTTGAACCCTTTTCCTCGGGGGACTTTTTGGCTTAATTATAGTTTTGTGCTCAATTTGAACTTTTAAGTGGATGTTGGGATCCATAAAATAAAGCTGGCCATAGTATTGCATTTACCTATAATGCTGACATTTCTTGTCAAAATGGACTGAATCGACGTTCTTAAATAGAATGAAAGAGAGAGTATAACATCAATGGCAAGAGTTGGCTTTTAAATTTCCGAGTGCTTTATGATTTGTTTTTCTACATTGCAATGATCTAATCTTCCTCATTGACATGTAGATAGCAGATTCAAATTCTTTGAGTATGTTGAAATGTGACATGGTTTTTCATCAATTTCAGTTCGACTCTGATGATACATATTCACTTCTTGCATTTGGAGGTGGTGCACTGGTTGCAGTTTGGCTGGCATCTGCTGTCGTTGGTGCTATCGATTCTATTCCAGTGGTGAGTACTCGTTTCTCTGTGGATTTATATACATATACATCAAGCTGTCGACTTGCCATTTCACTGACTAAAAGATGGTTTTGATTTTATAAATCTTAGTTTCCTAAAGTGTTGGAGCTTGTTGGTCTTGGATACACGCTCTGGTTCAGTACGCGCTATCTAATTTTCAAGGTTGGGATTCGAGAATGTTCCTCCATATGATGACTTAGCTTTCTTTGTCTTGCAGAAAATAATTGATTGATATTTATTTCCAGGAAAATCGGGCAGAATTGGTTGCTAAAATTGAACAAATCAAGGATCAGGTTATCGGTCCGGAGGATGACTGATGTAGAATTGTAGATTTCTGGATTGATATTACATAAAGCAACTGTAATGATACATAGAGGTTTCTTATCATGAATAGGTATTTTAGATCATGCATCTTCTTTTGTACAAATCCGAGTTCAAATTGATTCAAATTTAGGTCGTTTTTTGGCAAGTTTTCATGCTGTGTGTGTGGTCCTCTATGTTCTTTGGTGCAAGGGTTCAGGCTATTTCTTGGTAAATTTGCTCACTTAACAAAATTATTAAGGGAAAATGGAAGTTGAGACAGTGCAATAAAGGTGAAATATTGAGAACTAATATGCTCCTTTTGGGAAGTTGGAGGATCAAAATGCAATTCTTTTGATTGGTTGTGCACCTCGGATGCTATAAATATTCCTATTATTTATAGAGTATTTTAAAAATTGAGATGGTAGATAATTGAGATGATTTTGCTTGAGATGGTGGATAATTGAGATGATTTTGCAAATAAAAATAAAAATAAAATGAAGGGATTGTTGAGACAGATTTTTATTGCGTCGAAGAAATTTAACATAAACGTGCCACTAGATATTTAGAGGTGTTTGGTTAAAAGGTAAAGAAATTTTATTGTTTTATGTAGAATGAATTTTTTTTATTTTTTTTATTATTATTTTTTTAATGATGAAGGAATCTGTAGTTGCTACTTTTTGAGCACGCACTGAGTAAACCTTCGAGTTGACGCAGTAGCATGCAAATTACGCCAACCAGGTAAATCGCACTAGACAAATTCTGTGCGACAGGTTTGTTCGAAAAAGTGTTGGTTCCAACTCATGACCAAAGGTCTCCGCACTCACCAACTCGATCACCCCATGAGAGGCGTAGAATATTTTATCATATAAATGTAGAGTGGAGAATGTTCACGTAACAATGTGATGATTTTATATCTACATATGACAGGATTGTCTATTCAAATTTCGACCCTTCAAATCAAGAAAGATACAAATCTAGACACCTCGAATGTCAAATGAATCTGCCTATCACCGTCTCTCTTTTACTCACCTATCTGTCAAATGAAAGCCATTTCAATGAAAAAGAATTGTACATTATTTTAAAACATAAACCCAAGGAGAAAAAAAAAGGAAATTGAAATTCAAAATTTTTAATGAACATATAGTCAACTTTATTCAAACATTCACCACGTGTCCGGTGCAGGTTGTTTCTCATCAACCCCAGGAATTAAGGAACCTTCAACGGCCCAGTTTTCTCCATACCCCGCACTACATAAACTTCATTCAAAGATAATTATATATATTATGACAAATTAGGAATTATGGTGATTGAGAAATTTCCTACCATTTTGGGCCCCAAAACCTTATGATAATTGAGAATTACAGGCTTCAATTAAAGCACTCAGAGGACAATAAAGAACGGTCCACACGCAAGATGCTCAAAAATTGTGCGCAATGTATGTGTGCCAACCACACGCTTTTTCACACCTAATGCCCAACAAGAACCATTGATGATTGACCTAACACTCACGATATTTGTTAAATATATGGCTTATGTATGTTTGACATCCATGTATTTAGTGTCTTTAGATTATAACTCCAAGAAATATAAATTTGAGCCACTTTTGTTCTGTTTGTGTTCTCGATATAGTAAAACTAGAAAGAAATTTAGAATAGTAGACTTCAATCGACTAGAGTTACATCATCGATCGGTCAAGTTCTATTTTTTATATTTTTTTGAAACTTTTAAACATGTCTTAAGGTGGATGAACCTATCGATCTAGCGTATTATTGATCTCATTCTCTTGAACAAGACATCTGCACGAGTCTAGGTACGTTTCACAGTGCCAAATTGGCGGCCCCGTCTTTGAAGGGTAACTTTTTTCTAAGCTATATTGAAAATTTTAATTTAAATCAAGGTTAACAATTAATTTTAACCTCTTATATCATGAAACCTTCAATTTTTAAACGATACATCTCATCAACTATATCAAAATCTACTAAAAAATTTATTTTGATACTCACCAAATAAGGGCTTAATTAAATTAACTCACTATATATTTGTTTTATTCCAATAATCTAATTTAAAAGTTAAAACGGCAAATTATTTATTAGCAAAATAATCTTAGTCAATAAACAACTCCATGTACATTTGATTTTAAGTCAATGTTATATCCAACAATCCTATATTGACTTTTTTTTTTCTATTTTAATTTTTTTTTCTCAATTTCACGATAAAAGAAAAAGATAAATTCGAAAGGCTTCGAAAAGAAAATGACGTTTTCCTTTGCTCAACTAGTTTTGATCTTGACTTTTCAACATAGACACTATCTCCAAATCTCGTCCGTTGAATTCTTCACACTGCTGAATTTTAAGGTGAAAATTCTAGTCCCTTCAAAGTGCTCTCAATATGTTTTGGGCAATTGCATGGTCCCAGGGCTACCAACTTGTTATTTTGTGCTAAATCAAATAGGATTTCAAAATGCACCATGGTCCATATTTCTCCATTATTAAGATCAAGATCAACCACTTATACTTTGTTATTTCATAAAAAAATTTAACAAATTTTGATAAAAGTTAATAAAATATATGATTGAAAAATTAATAAAATATGTGAATATCATGAAATGTATGGTAAAAATTGAGATTTGATAAATTGCTAAAAACAAAATTCCATCACACAAGCACTTAATCGAAGATTTTTTGTAATGGAATTAGCAATTCAAACATCAAGGATTGCCAACATTCTGAACATGTTGACGAGTTAGGTCACTTCACCAAAAGTTGAACTACAATGCATACACTCGCACGATACTAAAATAAGATACTTTACCACAGCACAAATGCATTTCATTTGACGAAAATTCTTGGCCAAAATTGAACCATTCAATAGTACAAGTAGAAAGAAGAAAAAATTACATATAATATCAGATAGCATCTTCTAACAACTTCCTATATCAAAATCGAAATCAATTACTAAAAACAAATATTCTTTTAATTCTTCGTCGTCATCATCAAAATAATCAAAATTCTTTAAGCAATTTTCGAACTTGTTCCAGCGTGACAAAGAGCACCACCGTAAATGGACCTTGCCTTGAGATTGTAGGAATAAACCCCTTATAAAGGGAAGTGGGTCCCTCTGCTCTAATAGTTTTCATTGCACAATCAATGGCCCCACTGTATGGTGGGACCATCCCTGGCTCCACTTTCATGTTCATTACCCTAGTCTTTATCACGTCCACCGGATTCGACGCCACAGCCGCCACGAACCCTGCGGCGAAACTGGCGGTGATATGTGTTCCCAGCCCATCTTTCATTAATCCCTTTTCGAGTATAATTTCTTTGAATTGATCGTATGAAGCCAGCTGCGAAGCTGTGACGAGCATGGCGCGGTTTACGGTGAGAGACGAGCCGCGCCAAAGGCTAGCCACGCCTTCGTTCTTAGCCATTTGGGATATGGCGTCTAACACGCTTTTGTAGTTGCGGCGCTGCGCGAGAGGGAGCCGGCCGTCGGCTTGCATTCGTACCATTGCTACGTCGGCTGGGTTCCCTACGGCGGCGCCAACACCGCCGGCTATGAGACCCGCCGAGATTTTTTTCATTAGCGGCATATTTTTTGAATTGGGGTCCGTCCATTTTTGTTTGAGGATTTCGTAGAGGCCCATTCTGGTGGTGGAGTAGAGTGACTGGCGGAGGACGGTGGCGGAGACGCCGGAGAACAGAGCGGCAACACCGTCTTGCTGAATAATTTTCATCCCAACAGACACAAGCCCCACTCGTGGTGGTGGAGGTGGAGGGAGGCTGATGTGGCCCATATGGGGATGGACATGGCCGGTGGTGGTGTGAAAAGCCAAAGCAGGGCGGAGAGTCTGAAAAGCTGCCTGCGGCGGCGCGGGAGCTTCACCCTGGAGTTGCATTCGGACCTTAATCAGATCAAGAGGATGTGTACTGCATCCTGCAACAATGGAAGCAATTCCTCCTTCAAAAAATCCCTTAAAACCCATGTCGATTTA